GGGTATTCCAAGGTATCGATGTACCACAGTTTTGTTTTTTGTTTTTTAACAATTTATCTATTAAGGGATGTTTTAGTTGGTTGCAGTTTTGACTATTACAAATAAAGCTGCTATGAACATTTGTGTACACATTTTTAAAAAAGATTTATTTATTTTAGAGGTGGGGAGGGGCAGAGGGAGAGGAAGCAGACTCCCTGCTGAGCACAGAGACTGACACAGGGCTCAATCCCAGGACCCCGAGATCATGACCTGAGCCGAAATCAAGAGTTGGCCACTTAACAGACTGAGCCATCCAGGCGCTCCTTGTGTACACATTTTTGTGTAGACATAAGTTCTCATTTCTCTGAGATAGATGCCCAGGAGTGCTTTTGCTGGATGATATGGAAAGTATGTGTTTAGTTTTTTTTAAAGAAATTGCCAAACTATTTTCCAGAATGGCTGTAACATTTTACATTCTCACTAGCAATGTTTAGAGATATGGATTCTCCACATCTTTGCCAGCATTTGATATTGTCTTTTTTGTTTGTTTATTTATGTTTTAGTTTTTCTAATAGCAGTGCTTGTCTTATGGCTAGTGATGTTGAATGTGTTTATTTGTCATCTGTACATCCTCTTTAGTGAAATGTCACTTCATTTCTTTTCCCTATTTCCTAAGTGGATTGTTTGCTTTTTACCATTAAATTGTGAGAATTCTATATATATTCGAGATACAAGTCCATTGTTAGATATGTTTCATAAATATTTTCTCCAGGTGTATAGCTTATTTTTCCATTCTTTTAACAGAGTCTGTCACAGAGTTTTAAATTTTGATGAAGTCCAATTTAATGACTTTTTTCTTTTATTTACTTATTTTTAAATTTTTTTTTTACTTTTTTCTTTTATGAACTGTGCTTTTGGTTTCATGTTTGCCTAGCCTTAAACCCAAAGATTCCCCCATGTTTTCTCCTAAAGTTTTATGGTTTTGTCTTTTGCATTTAAATATATCATTGATTTTGAGTGAATTTCTATATAATGTATGAAGTTTAGGTCAAGGTTCATTTTATGGGTTGATTGTCTATGGATATTCAATTGCTTTAGCACCATTTATTAAAAAGATTATCTTTCCTCCATCGAATTGCTTTTGCATCTTGTCAAAAATCAGCTGGTCTTGTTTATCAGTTCTATTTCTGGGTTCTCTATTCTGTTTCATTGATTCATGTGTATTTTCCTCTGTCCATATTATACTGTCTTCATTACTGTAGCAATATAATAATAATTGGATGGAGTGCTCCTTTCCAATTTTCTATTTCCTAATTCTATTTCAAAATTCTTTTAGCTGTTCTAGTTCCATGACCTTTCCAAATACATTTTAGAAAATTTTGTTTATATCCACAAAACGTCTTACTGGGATATTGATAAGAATTGCATGAAACCTGTGTATCAGTTTCGGGAGAAATGAAACCTTTATGATGTTGAGTTTTCCAATCCATGGATATGCTATGTCTCTCCATTTATTTAAATATTTTATTTCTTTCATCAGCGTTTTGTAGTTTTTAACATAAATGTATAGGACATATTTTGTTATATTTATACCTAAGTGTTTCTCTTTTTTTTGAGTGGTTTAATGGTATTATGTTTTTCATTTTGGTGTCCATGTGTTCGTTGGTAGTACATAGAAATACTATTGATTTTTATATGTTGATCTTATATTCTATGACCTTGCTAAATTCATGTATTAGTTCTAGGAGCTTTTATGTAAATTTCTTGGCATTTTCTATGTAGACCATCATGTCAACTGAAAATAGGGATGCTTTGATTTCTTCCTTCTTGATCTGAATCAGGTTTTTATTGCCTGATTGTTCTGGCTAGGATTTCAGTATTATGCTGAATAAAAGCAAAAAGAGCAGATATCTTTGCCTTGTCCTGGATCTTAAGAGGAAATCATTGTCTTTCACCATTGTGTTTCTTGTCAGCTATAGGATTTTTGAAGGCATTCTTTATCAAATTGAGGAAGCAACTCTCTATTCTTAATTTTCTAAGCATTTTTATCATGAATGTGTGTTGAACGTTTTTTCCATTACTTTTATTGAGATAAAATTCATGTAACAAAGAATTAATTATTTAAACCATTTTAAAGTGTACAATTCAGTGTTCTTTAGTATATTCACAATGCTGTGTAACTATCACCACCATCCAATTCCAGAATTCTCTTAATACCTCAAATAGAAATCCATACACATTCAGCAGTCACTCTCCATTCCGCCTTCCCCTCAGCCCCTGGCAACCACTGATCTGCTTTCTGTCTCTATAGATTTATCTATTATGGATGTTTCATGGAAATGGATTCATACAAGATGTGACCTTTGTGTCTGGCTTCTTTCACTTAGTATAATGTTTTCAATTTCATTCATGTTGTAGCATGTGTCAATCCTTCATTCCTTTTCATGACTGAATAATTTTCCATTGTATGGATATACCAAAGTTTGTGTATTCATTCACCAGTTGATGGACATTTGAGTTGTTTCCACTTTTTGGCTATTATGAATAGTACTGTTATGAACACTCATGTACAAGTTTTTATGTGAACATATGTTTTTAGTTCTCTTGGCTATGTATCTAGGAATGGAACTGCTGGGTCATGCCGTAACTCTATGTTCAGAAACAGGCTGAGTTTTGAGATAGGCAAGATAAAGGTAAACCTTGTGAGCTGATCTTCCAAGGAGCTACCAGATGAGTCAAAGCAATTAATTACAATTCTTTGTAAATGAGGTCTGTTTTGCTCCCCTCCACCCCAGTACCAGGAAGGTGGGGTGTTATTTTCAAGGCTACCACTGGGCTTGGGATGGGGGATGGAGCCAAGATCTGTGAAAATTCCATAAAGCCACTTTTCTTACTGAGATTTGGCTTGATTTTTGTTTGTTTTCTGTTTTTGTTTTTGTTTTTGATTAAGCACTCTCCTTGTCACTATAAGCTTTTAGTTAGTTTCCAGAGTTCTGAAAATGTTGCTTTTGCCAGGTTTTTAATTGCTTTTATGGAAGGACAGATTTTTGAAATTGCTCTCTTCACCATCTTTGCTGATATCCTCCTTGAATGATAAATTTTGTCAAGGGCTTTTTCTGCATCAATTGACATGATCATATTACTTTTCTTCTCTAGACCATTAATATGGTGGTTTACATAGATTGATTTTCAGATATGGAACCAGCTTTGCATCTCTGGAATCAATCCTCTTCATCCCTGATGTGTAATTATTTTTGTATGTTGCTCAATTCTATGTGATAATACTTTGTTAAGTACTTTTATGCCTACATTCATGAGAGCTATTTGCAGTTTTCTCTTTTTGGACTATCTGTCTGATTTTGGTATCAGGGTCATACTGCCCTCATAAAATAAGCTCAGAATTGTTCTCCTTTCTAATTTTTGGAAAAGATTTTACAAATTTGAGGTTCTTTTTCAAATGTTTGATAGACTTCACCTAGAATTCATGTTTGGTGGAATTTATGTGAGCCTGGGGGTTACTTTCTTGGGAGTTTTAAAGTTACAAACTTCTATAGTAGTTATAAGGATACTCAAATTGGGTGAGTTGTGGTACCTCGTGCTTTTTGAAAAATTGCTCCATTTCATCTAATTCATCAAATTTATGTGTAGAGTTGTTCACACCATTTCCTTATTATCCTTTTGATGTTTGCAAGGTCTGCAGTGATAGCCTGTGTTTCATTTCTGATAGTAGCAATTTGTGCCTTCTCTCTTTTGTTGTTTTTCAGCCTTCTAGAGACTTGTCACTTTTGCTGCTCTTTTCAAAGAATCAGTGCCTTGTTTTATGGATTTTCTATATTGTTTTTCTGCTTTCAATTTTATTGATTTCTGCTCTTATTGTTGTTGTTTCTTTCCTTTTGCTTCCTTTGGGCTTATTTTGTGCTCCTTTATGAAGTTTCTTAATACTAGGTGACTGGAGATTTTTCCTTTTTTTTAATGTAAGCATTTAATGGTAAAAATTTCCCTCTCAGCACTAGTTTAGCAGCATCTCACAAATTTTGATATGCTAGATTCTAATTTTCATCCAATTCAATGTATTTCTTATTTTCTTTGAAATTTCCTCTTTGATTCATGGATTATTTAGAAGTATGTGGTTTTTTTTGTTTTGTTTTCAAATGCTTGGATATTTTCTGTTATCTTTCGGTTACTGGTTTCTAGTTTGAGTCTTTTGTAATCAGAGAACACACTCTTATTTCCATTATTTTCATTTTGTTGAAATTTGTTTTATGGTCCAGAATACAAACTATCTTGTTCTATGTTCCATAGATACTGTGTTATTTTGTGTGGTGTAGCAAAATGTTTATATTTAGAATTAGCAAGCTGGACTCAGTTTAGATGATCCCGATTTTGTTGGCAATATCCAAAGCATCATAGTTAGAGGCAAGTTGAACATATGCCTTTTTCTCTTTATCAGGCCTGATCAGGATGTTGACCTTGGCCACCTCAATGTCTTAGAGCTTCTTCACAGCCTGTTTGATTTGGTGTTTATTGGCTCCGACATCCACAATGAACACAGTGTGCTGTTGTCTTCTATCTTCTTCATGGCTGACTCTGTGGTCAGGGGCAAGTTGATGATGGCATAATAGTCAAACTTGTTTCTTCTGCAGGTGCACTTCTAGGGATATATTGGCTGCTTTTAGAACCAGAGTGGCTTGGGCCACGAAAAGTTGAGTGATGTGTGACTATCTTCCTTTTCCTCCTCCTTCTCCTCCTCCTTCTTCTTTTCTTCTTTTTGTGACTCTGGATATCTTTCAGTACTGCTTTCTTGGCCTTCAAAACCTTGGCTTTGGCGTTGGGAGGGGCCAGGGGCTTCCTTCTTCACTTTCAGTGCCATCTTTGTGCCATGGACACTTTAAAAGAATGTGTATTCTGCTGTTATTGGGTGGAATGTTATATAAATGTTACTTAAATCCTGTTGGTTGATGGTGTGTTAAGTTCTTATACATCCTTGTTGATTGCCTAGAAGTTTTATCAGTTGTTTATAGAGGGGTGTTGAAGTCTCCAACTGTAATTGCATGTCATACTTGTGCAGGGGCCATGCTAATCTTCTCTGTATCATTCCAATTTTAGTATATGTGCTGCTGAAGTGATCACTCTCCAACTGTAATTGTATTAATTTTTGCTTCACATATTTTGCAGCTTTGTTGGTTTATGCATACCAATTTAGGATTGCTATGTCTTCTTGGTAGACTGACTCCTTAATCATTCTCTAAAATTCCTCTCAGTCCAAGGTAATTTTTTTTTGTTTTTGCTCTGAGGACTATTTTGTCTGTTAATAATATAGCCACTCCTGCTTTCTTCTAATTGATGTTTGTATAGTATAGATACTTTTATTCTTTTAATTTCAACCTAACTATATGGTATTTGAAATGAGTTTCCTGGTTGCATTATATGTTTGAATCTACTCTGTCAATCTTTGCCTTTCAATTGGTGTAATTAGACCATTTACATTTAATGTAAATAATGATATGTTAAGGCTTAGGTTTGCCATTTAAATTTCTGTTTTCTGTGGCTTGTTTGTTTCTGTTTCTTTTAGCTATCTTCCTGTGACTTACTTGAACATATTTTAGAACTCATTTTGATTTATTTGTAGTATTTAAAAAAAATCTTTAGTAGCTTTTCCAAAAAATTATAAAAATAATACATGTTCATTATAAAAAATTCAAATAATACCTGAAGTAAGAAGTAAAGATAACACCATTCTTCTGAAGAGGTACAAAATAAAATAAGGTATCATTTTTCAAACTACAAGATTGGCAAGATTAAAAGAATGATGAAGCGATGATGGTTGTGGAAAACCAATTAACAGTGGCTACTTAGAGAGCAGGTAAAGGGGAAACATAAATACAAACTTAAAAAAAATTATTAAAAGGAATGATAATATCCAACACTGCTAAGCATGTAAGCCAGGGTTTTTCAACCTCAGCACTATTGACATAATTCTTTGTTCTGAGGGACTGTACTGTGTGTTGTAAGATGTTTCACAGCATCTCTGGTCTGTTACACTAGATACCAGTAGCATCTCTAACCCTGTCCCCCTCTGGCCCTATAGTATTTTTTGAGTAGATCTCTTTCTACAGAGTTTTAATGGTTGCCCTATGTGTTACATACTTAGACATACATGAGTTATCACATTCTACTAATGGCTATGTTTTACCAGTTTGAATGAAGTGTATATATCTTATCTCCTCATAAATTCCTTTCCTCTCTCCCATTTGTAATCATCTTAAATATTTCCTCTACACACACGGGAAACCATATCACATAATGTTGTCATTTTTATTTTTGCTTCAGAAGTAAAAATTTGAAAAACTCAAGAGAACGAAAGTATTTTGTTTACCTATATTTTTACTATTTCCCTTATTTTTTTCCTTGCTAATGTTTTCAAATTCCTTTTTTTTTTTTAATCATTCCTGTTCTTTTTCAAGAATTTCCATTAGCTATTCTTTTAGAGTAAGTCTGCTGGTGATAAATTCTCTTAGCTTTTCTTTATTTGAGAATACCTTGATTTCTCCTTCATTCCTAAGGAGTATTTTAACTGGTTATAGAATTCTAGGTTGACAGTTCTTTTCTTGTAGCACTTGAAAATTTTTGTATCATTTTCTTATGGCCTACACAATTTCTGATAAGAAATCCACTGCCAAAAAAAAAAAAAAATCCACTGCCATTTGAATTGTTTTCCCTATAGATAAGGTATTATTTTTCTTTCATTGATTTCAAGATTTTTCTTTATTTTTAGTTTCTAGAATTTTGATTATCATGTGCTGTGGCATGGATTTCTTTGAGTTTATTTTGTGTGGAATTCATTATGCTTTTTTGAATCTGTAGGTTTATGCCTTTTGCCAAATTTGGGGCAATTTTAGCCATGATTTTTTTCAAATACTTTTTCCTTTCCTTTTCTTTTTTTTAAGATTTTATTTAATTATTTGACAGAGAGAGACAGCGAGAAAGGGAACACAAGCAGGGGGAGGGGAGAGGGAGAAGCTGGGATCGTGACTCAAGATAAAGGCAAATGCTTAATGACCTAGCCACCCAGGCGCCCCTCAAATACTTTTTCAATCCTACATTTTTCCTCTTCTCCTCATGACTCTAAAGACGTGAATGTTAGATCTTTTGTTATAGTTCTACAGTTCCCTGAGGCTCTATGTATTTTTCCCAGGTTTTTTTTTTCTTTTCCTTTGTTTAGACTGGGTAATTCTTATTGTTCTTTCTGTTCATCAATTCTCTTTTCTGTCCCCTCCATTCTGATGTTCAGCTTATCAAATGAGATTTTTAAATTTTTTTTAATTTGGTTATTGTATTTTTCAGTTCCAATGTTTCTGTTTGATTCTTCTTTTTATCTTCTATTTCTTTATTGACACTTTCTAATTTTTTGCTTAACCTTTCTATTTTTTTTATTTGTTTTAATCATGTTCATAATTGTTTCTTGAAGGATTTTTGAAATGGCTACTTTAAAATCCTTGTCAGATAATTCTAGTTCACTTCTTGGTACCTCATTGTTGGCATCTGTTGATCATCTTTTCTTATTCAAGTTGAGATTTCCCTGGCTGTTGGTGTGATTAGTGATTTTAGACTGTAGCCTGAACATTTTTAGTATTATGTTATGACACACTAGATCTTACTTAATTCTTGTTTTAGTAGACTTTCTCTGACACCATGCTTTCAGGAGAATATGGATATAACCTCTTTCCTGCCAGATTGTAAGCAGAAGTCCAGATGTCCCCCTCAGCCTCTGTTGACACCCTGGGGTTGGAAGTGGCATTTTGTTGCCACCAGGTGGTGGTGAAAGTCATGACTCTCTACTAGGCCTCCTTTGACACCATTCCAGCAGGGAGCGGGCAAGGTTCCTTATTACCACCAGGTGGGAGTGGAAGTCTTGGTTCCCCATGTGATTTCCACTGACACTATGGGAAATACCTCATTATTGTCTGGCTGGGATGAAAGTCTAACCACTTGGTCTTCCATTATACCACCCTGGCAGGGCAGGTGAGTCACTTCATTAAAGCCTGGCAAGGGTGGATGTCTACTCTCTCCCCTTGGCCTTTTGTGGTGTGTAGAGTGGTAGGGCCATAATTTTTTCCAGGGTGTTTGGATGGAATAGAGTGGTTGTTGTCCAAAAGTTTTCTGTCTTGCTAGGTTTCCCCTTTTCTGGTCCTACAGCTAGAAAGAGCAAACTTTCTTAGGGACTTTTTTTTTTTTTTTCTGTGTCTACTGGTGTTTCTGTGTTACCAGCATCTTTGGCCCCCAGTATGAGATATATAAAGCAAAAAGAATGCCCAGGAAGCTCATTACTGTGTCATTCCTTGGGTCCCCAGGTTCCTAAGTATTCCCCATTTCAAAGTCATATTTTTTTTATATATAGTATCCAGGCTATACTTTGTGGGAGAAATAGGGGTAAGTGTGTCTGCTCTTTTTTTTATCAGGACTAGAAATGTCTATTTAACAATATTAAATATGTAACATTTTCATTGTTTTTCAGTTTAAGAACTTTCTAATTTTCATATGATTTTTTTTTTCTTTTACCAATGAGTTCTTAATTTCCAAATACATGGAATATACTTTTTTGGTTGTTTTACTAAACTATTTGCTTGTGGGTGAGGAAGTTGTTTAAAGGAATGTGCTTCAGTTTTTCTCCTATAAAGTGGAGATAATAATAGTTCTACTCTCATAGGTTGTGAAGATTAAATGAATATGTCCATGAACTTTTATAAAAAATCATAAGTGTGTTCCCCTCACCACTTTTTTCCTGATCCTTCTTCCATATAATTTCCTGGATTAAGATGCTGGGTTTTAAAAAAAAAATAAAATAAAAGCCTTATTGAAATATAATTACTATACCATGCAAATCACCTACTTAAAGTGTACAATTCAATAGATTTTAGCATATTCACAGAGTTGTGCCAACATCACACAATCAATTTTAAAACACTTTCATCATCTGCCCGCAAAACCCATTAGCAGTACTCCCCTTCCCTCCCTGGTATCTATTAATCTACTTTATGTTTCTATGTGTTTGCCTATCCTGGACATTTCACATACACAGAATCATACAATATGTAGTCTTTTGTGATGGGCTTCTTTCACTTAGCATTATACTTTCAGGGTTCATCCATGCTGTACTGTGTATTAGTACTTCTTTCAAATTACCAAATGATGTTCCATTGTATGGTTATACCACATTTTATTTATCCATTCATCAGTTTATGGACATTTGGGTTGCTTCCACTTTTGAGCTATTATGAATAATGGTGCTGTGAATATTCATGTACAAGTTTTTGTGTGGACATATGTTTTCATTTATCTTGGGTAAATTCCTAAGGGTGGAATTGCTGGGTCTTGTGGTAACTCTGTGTTTAAATTTTTGAGGAACTGCCAAACTTTTCCATGGCAGCTGCATCATTTTACATTCCCATCAATAATATATGAGGGTTCCAATTTCTTCTCATCCTCACCAACACTTGTATTTTGTCTTTTTCATTAGAACCATCCTAGTGGGTATGAAATGTGATCTCATTTTGGTTTTGAGTTTTATTTCTCTGATGGTTAATCATGTTGAGCATCTTTTCATGTGTTTATTGGCCATTTGTATATTTTCTTTGGAGGAATGTTTATTGAAGTCTCTTGCCGTTTAAAAAAGTTAGGGTATTTATCTTTTGTTGTAGTTGTTAAATTGTAAGAGTTCTTTATGTATTCTGAATACAAAATCTTTATTAAAGATATGATTTGCAGATCTTTTCTCCCATTCTGTTTGGTTGCTTTTTCACTTTCTCAATAGTGTCCTTTGATACACAAGTTTTTAATTTTGATGAAGACTCATTTATCTATTTTTCCTTTTGTTGCTTTTGCTTTTGGTGTCTTGTCTAAGAATCCATTGCCAAATCTAAGGTCATGAAAGAATTACTCTTACATTTTCATCTAAGAGTTTTATAGTTTTAGCTATTAAATTTAGGTCTATGATCCATTTTGAGTTAATTTTTGTATACGGTAAGAGTAGGGGTGCAATTTAACTCTTTTGCATGTGGATATCCAGTTGTTTCAGCACCATTTATTGAAAAGAATATTCTTTCCAATTGAGTTGTCCTGGCACCCTTATC